CCTTTCCTTCTCCCCCTTTCTTTTTTCTTCTTCATTTTTGAGACAGGGTCTTTTGCTGGTTTGGAATTCACAGGCAGCTAGACTAGTTGGCTAATCAGCCCTAGAAATCCTTCACTGGCATTACAAATGTGTACTACCATGCCTGGCTTCTGGGTACCAGGGTTCAGATTTAAGTTCTTGTCTTCACAAGGCAAGGACTTTGCTGACTGAGCATTCTCCCTAAACAATATTTTAATCTTAAATAAATGGTCAAATCATATGTATACAAAACAATTGTTTCAAAATTTTTCATTATGATTTATTATCCATAATTTGTAAAGTTGTATGTCTATTTTATATACCTGAGATCACATAAAAGTTTCTTAGAGTTTAAGGAGACTGTATCTAGGTAGTAGACCTACATGGCACATTCAGGAAATCATAAATTTGGTTTAGAGTAGCTCATATGTCAGGTAAGTGTGATAAAGTTGCTTAAAACTAGACGCTTTGTTTACAATAATAACATTTTCAGTGGCTTCTCTAAAGAGGAATGCTTTGTGATTAGATGACTAATGCATATGTTTGGAATTAAACAGTAAGGGACATTGAAAATTTTATGCCAGGAAGTTATATAATCAGTTTGCACTTTTGAAATCATACTGGAAATCATCTGGAGAATGACAGGATAAAGAAAACTGAGATGAGAGATGGGGGGACAAGTTTGGATGTAAATGAAGGCATTCAAAGGGCAGGGACAAAGATGGTCTGAGGTAAAGCAGTTGTGTGTGGATGCAGTGAGCTGACCTGGAAGAATTGTTAGACATGGGGCGGATAGATTTTCATGTACTAATATTCTGAACCCAGAGATTCAAATGATTAGGATATTACTTAGATAGATGATAATGGCGATATACTGCCTGAGACATAGAATTCAGGAGGAGAGAAATCATCAGCATGGTAAGGTGACCAGAAATACTCAGGGAGCAGGGTAACAAAATGGAGATGTCCAGTAGACAGGTAAGTATATTACTGATCTAGACTGGAGATATAAAATTATAATTACTGTTGTTGACTGAAGATACATCTACAGAGGAAGAGTGCTGAGAAGAAAAATACGAAGTGAGAAGAGAGGGAAAGGATAGCAGTCTTACTGTTTAGATAGAGGTGTGTCCTCTATGTGGTCTCCTCCACATGTTCATCAGGTTTAATGAGCAGCCAGAATAACTGAAGTAAAACAAAGAGTAACGACAGAGAAAATTTTAAGACTTAATGCATCAAGAGGGAGGAGAGTTTAAAATGTGTTAGGAACAACCAATAGTAAGGAAACTAGTGTAGTAAGGACTGATGGCTGTGGATATAATTATTTCATGGTGTTTTGACACTGTAAGCCAGACTTTAATAGGTTGAGATGTACAGACAAGATGATGTGAGGGTGCTGTTTACTGATCATATTTTGAGGAAGATAAGACACAGTTGCTAAAATTATGCTACTGAGGAAATTTCTGGCCACAGGATCAGAGCACTCTTGGAAAATTAATGTTAAAAAAATCTTCATTTTTCTGAAACAAAGAAGGGTGATTGGTGTGAAGTAATTTTATTTATTGCAGGAGTTGTAGAAATTGAGAAAATTTTCCAGATCACTTCTTGGGAGTGTGTTTGTACATGCATGTGGCTGTGAAATGTGAATTAAAGTCATCTATTAAGAGTGAAGTACTCTAAACTAGGTTCGATGGCACACACCTATAATCCCAGCATTAGGGAAGGCAGAGGCAGGCGGATCTCTATGAGTACAAGGCCAGCCTGGTCTATAAAGTGAGTCTGAGATAGTCAAGGCTACAGTGAAACCCTGTCTAGAAAAACAAAACAAAACAAAACAAAACAAAACAAAACAAAAGAGTGAAGTACTCTTTAATCTAGGATGTGGACAGATAAATTCATCTAGAATTAGAGTTGTTAACTTCAGCTGAGTTAGAGAAACAGAAAGCTCTAAAGATATTGACTACTCAAGAACTTGATTGGTATTCAAGTAATTAAACCATAAAGAATGAATGGGATGTGCTAGGATTCATATGGGGCTAAAAAAGTTGGTTTGTCAGTTATACTGCTTAAATTTGGAACTGGGTCAGCATTGGTTCCCTATCTGCCCAGCTCTTCCTATATCCACAACTGGGTCAGCATTGGTTCCCTATCTGCCCAGCTCTTCCTATGTCCACATGTCCAGAATCCCACTTCCATTTCCATATGATGAGACTTTGGGAATCTGATCATTTCTTGTATAGCCTCCCACTGAGAAGATGAAGAAGAGACTTATCTACCAAAAGAAAACAGTAGGGATTATGGATTTCCATGAGATACACACTTAATGGCATTTCTGTCACTTATAGTGCTGAAGGATCAAATGGAACTCCAACTGGATGATTTTAAAAATCGTTCTTAAAAAAGCAACATGATTATTAATAGAAAAAACAATAGAGTACAAATGTACTCATATAGGCATGAGGGCTTAAGGCAAGAATAAATTATTGGCATTTGTGGGCATATTCTTGTGGACTTCCTTTTTAAAAACTTTAGTATTCCCCCATGGAGAGAGAACAGAATGAGAAACTCTTTCTACAACCCATTGTTCAGCTGCAATCATTTGTTTTCCTTTTGCTGCTTAGGTCTCATCAATATTTAAGATATATCAGTGACACTAGAAATAATCATAGAATGCAAGCAGAAATTCTGTGAATGTGACATATTCCAAAAGAAAATGAGTTCTGGCTTATTTCCGGAGCTGGTGGCTTGGATAAGTAGAATTGGCAGTGCAGAGGTATGGTATTTGAAGCTGGTCAAGTCCAAAACAAAGACGGCTTAGACATAAAACTGTTGCCACTATTGGCTGTGAATTTACTTCTCTACTCTGCTTCAGAAGGCTGAACTCATTTTGTACTATCTCTCATCAGTAAATGTAAGTACTTCGAGAACTAAAGTCTGACTGGGCTTTTCATTAACTTATGACATAATCCTTATATTTTCTTCTTGATAAGTTGGATAATGGTAAAGGGCAAGCTTCTTTCTTAGAGCAGTGATGAAGACATTTATTTTAAAGGAAATGCAGAACAAAAAAGAAAAAAAGGAAAGGAAACTAACTTCTGCTGAAACTGATATGTTTTGGAGAAAGGGAAAATTGCAGAACTTTTACTGTCACCAAAAGTTAATAGGACATTTGTTTATAAAATAAAAATTAGTTAAGGAAAGATGAGGGTCTTAGCTCAGGAATAACTAGATAAATTGAAAACAGTTATTTTAGTTTCTAAATGACATTAAAATGCTCACTATCACGTACAGAAAATATCATGTGTATGGAGATGGCATGCACATGTGGGGAGCAGAGGAAACTTGTGGAGTTGGTTTTCTTCTTAGGTGAGTTCTAGGGGTTGAGCTCAGGTCATCAGGCTTTGTGGCAAGCCTCCAACTTCTCTCTCCCATCCTTAGACCTACTTCAGTTGTATTGGTACCTCTAGCATTCTATTGAAAGTTCTCTGATCAAGGTCCCCTGATCCTCCTGTGTCATAAATTCAAGTCAGTGCATTTCAATTAACCAATGAGAAGTCTCAGACTCAGGTGTTCACACTCTCCTATTTGACACTTCCTTCTCTGAGTTTCTCTCCTACCTAAGAGGTTTTCCTTGTACACTACCTCTGACCCTCAGTGTTCTGTGTTGGTTCTTATTCTCCTGACCAACCACTGTAGGGATTCTTGGAGATTTGGTTCTCATCCCTTTCTGTTTACATTGCACACTCATGTCCTTAAAAATGACTTCCATTATGCTTTAAACCATGCTGTATATTTTTAAACTCCTAAATGTATCCTAAGTCCAGTTCTCTTTTCTGAACTCCATACTAATAATTAGCAGCCAATTCAGCAGCTCAACTTCAATGTCTAAAAGACACTTCCAATGTAGTGTGTTTAGGCAGAACTGCAGCTACATCCTTAGTCTTTCCTGCCTCAGCAGATAATTCTCTTCAGCTAGTTGCTCTGGCTCAAGATCGTCCCATTCCAACAATTGTCAAGACTTTGTGAAATCATCACTACAATCAGGATGTAGAAAAGACCATCCCTAAATGGATTCCTATGATACAGCCAGTTTTCTATACAGCTCCTACTATAGGGAACTGTAGTTGTTTTTTCTCTCCAGTTAACTTTGCTTTCATATACATGCAATCATATAGCATTTTCTATTTTATGCCTGGATTTTCATTTGGCACGGTTTTTAGATTCATTCAAGTAAAAAAACAAAGGTGAAGCTGACTTTAGCTTTACTTTCTACAGCTTAAACTAATATTGGTTTAATGATTCACTATTATGAATCAGAATTGGGCCTTTTCTTTTTTTTTTTTTTTTTTTGCCTCTGTAAGGGGTAGTTCATTACATATACATCTCAAGGCAGCAGCCATGGCATACAGTGAATTTCAATTGGTGTTAGGCTGTGTTAGAAACACAAAGTAAAAGGTTGCTTAAAACTAAAAAAATCCCATGCCTGTTAAGTAGAAACTGTCAGAATATGGTCATAGCATCAAGAAAAAAGTTTCTTGGTTGTATAGTAGTAGTAATAGAGTTATCGCAAATAATGCAATTAAAAAATTCAAGGCTATATTAAAACAAGGAATTTTTAAATGTGCTACACTCATTCAGAGAAGAAATAAGGTAAATGCTTTTCAGAGATAGGAGGGAAAATGGTTATTAATCTATGTTTACTAATATAGTTCCTATAACTTAGATTGGATGAGATTTGTATGTATAAATGATGTATGATGACATACTATAAAGCATCTTTGTATGTATTAAAATATTAAAAAATTATAATTAAAAAAAACCTGTTGGTATCCTTGTCTTCTCAATCCAATGTGAAGTTTGTTTGTTCATAGGATATTTCAAGGATGACACTTTAAAACAATTTTCACACATATTAATTCTTTTGGGCTGATCTTCTTCCTGGATTGGACTCTTAGAAGTTCCTAAAATACATATCCGTTGGTCTTTGTTAAGACTCTGAATCACACGCCAGGAACTGAAAGAAATTAAGTATTGTAGTTTCAGTGTCAACTATTTACACAAGAGTAATGCAGTTCTGTTTTCTATTCACATTATACCTTAGTATGTAATCTTTGAGCTCTCGTCAGCCTGTACTATAGGCAGGGTAGCTAATCTCATTTTCAAAAAGGTGATCAAAAAGGTTACACATTGGCAGCATCAAGTCTAATAGTCCTATCTTTTAATTTTAGTGTTTTTCCTATTATGTTTTTTTTAAGATTTATTTTTATTTGCACGTATGTGTTTGTGCCTGTAGGGATTTATGTATACCACATGCAGCTGTACTGGTCCTCTGGAAGAACAGTAAGTGCTTTTAGCCACTGAGACATCTCTTCTGCCCTATCTTTTCTTATCTCAGTATTTATCATTTGATTTCTCTCCATAGATAATCTTATCTTAGAATGCTTAATTCTAGGTCCACATATAGTTAGGTCCAAAGATGCCTGCCATATTATCACTTATGTAATCAATTCTCTATGTTTTTGGAGTAAGAAAGTATACATTCTAACAGAACCCTTTTTTGTTGTTGTTGAACTGAAACCAAGTTTTTTTTTTTTTTTTTTTTTTCTTGGGACAGGGTTTCTTGCTGTCCTGGAACTCTTTTTATAGACCAGGCTGTCCTTGAACTCACAGAGATTCACCTGCCTCTGACTCCTGAGTGCTGGGATTAAAGGCATACACCACCACGCCTCGCCTGGTTCAGAAACCAAGTTCTTAGGAAAGAAGCCAAGGAATTAAGAAAAGGTATACCAGCACCTCTTGTAGTGAAATTATATAGTTGTGCAAATTCAGTGAATTCTCAGATGCTTATCTGTGATTACTTAAGTCACTGTCCAGACAATGGTTGATATCATTATTCTTATGAACAGGAAAAGTGGTCAAAGGTAATAAAGATATTATAGTTACCAGTTCAGAGAAAGATTCCAAACTGGTCTATGTAATCTTTGACTTCCCTTTCTGTGCCTTTCACAGGCTTTAGATGCTAGTTTTACCCCTGTGTGACCAATGGTCCATAAGCTATGAGAGATAGTAGTAAAATACATGATCACTCATCATTCATTGCATAGTGCTAATGAACTTGTCAGAAATATTTATTTTTAAAATGAGAAATCAGAAAATTCAATGAAAAATGTATAGAAATAAACAGCTTCAGCTAAGACTTTAATATGTCATCCATCAAGGACAATGTAGTGATATTTGAAATCATCTCAGAACACTTTAAAGCTGCATCTGAGAGTGCTCTTACATCTTATAGTAATCTAGATAGGTAGGATCTAAAGATAAACTCGATCAATTTTTTTTTCAAAAGGTAACCTTGTGTTGCTTTAATTCAAAATCAGAACACTCTAAGATAGAAGAAAAATATTAACATACTTGGGAGAAATCAAGTGTAGTTCTCCTACCTTGAACGCATTTTTTGGGGATAAACGCATTGTTTATCAGGATTTTTCACTAAAAAGGAGAATATACCATAACATATCTTAAACAGCTACATTTTAAGAACAAAAAAAGTTAACTTTTAATTTTCTTTACAATTACTTTGTGTACATTTAATGGCTAGATAATTTAGCTCATCTTTATTTAAAGGATTTGTTCACACACAAAATATATGACTACATTTTCCTCTTGGAAGTCTTTTTTCTTTTTAAAATTATCAGTATTATTTATTATGCATTGCAATTTGTTCACTTTGTATACTGGCTGTAGACTCTTCCCTCATCTCCTCCCAGTCTCTCCTTTCCTCCCTCTTCTCCCCTTCTCCCCATCCCCTAATCCCCTGATAAGGGAGATCTTCCTCCTCTACTATCTGACCCTAGCCTATCAGGTCTCATTAGGACTGGTTGCATCCTCTTCCTCTGTGACCTGGCAAGGCTACACCCACCCCTCAGGGGGAGGTGATCAAAGAACCAGCCACAAAGTCCTTGTCAGAGACTGCCCCTGCTCCCCTTACTGGAGTACCCACATGAAGACTGAGCTACCTATGGGCTATATATCTGAGCAGGGGTCTAGGTCCTCTCCATGCATGCTCCATGTTTGGTGCGTTGGTCTGTAGGCCCCACTGAGTCCAGATTTTTTGGTTCTCTTGGTCTCCTGTGGAGTTTCTTCCCTCTCCAAGTTTTTCTATCTCCCACTTCTTCCATGAGATTCCCTGTGCTTTGCCCAAAGTTTGGCTATGAGTCTCAGCATCTGCTTCAATATCCTGCTGGGTAGAGTCTTTGCTCACTATGTTCATAGCAGCCTTATTTGTAATAACCAGAATCTGGAAACAACCCGTATGTGGCTCAACCAAGGAATGGGTACAAAGATTGTGGTACATTTACACAAAGGAATACTACTCAGAAATTAAAACCAAGAAAATCATGGAATTTGCAGGCAAATGGAACTAGAAAAGATCATCCTGAATGAGGTAACCCAGAAGCAGAAAGACATACATGGTATATACTCACTTATAACTGGATATTAGTCATATAATATATGATAAACATACTAAAATCTATAGTCCTAAAGAAGCTAAACAATAAGGAGGATTCTAGGGAAGATGCTTGATCCTCATTTAAAAAGGCAAACAAGAAAGACATCTGAATCAGGAGAAGACAAGGAACAGGACAGGAGCTTACCATAGAGGGCTTCTGAAAGACTCCTGGAAGCCTTTTACTAAGATTGTTCCATGAAAAGAATAAACAGTAGAAACATGAAGCTATTAACTACCAACTGGGAAGTTGCCTATGGGTTGGGAGCGCAATCAGTGGCAGAGGCCTTACCTAGTATTTGTGAAGCTCTGTCTGCACTAGAACAAAAACAACATTCAAAAAGGAAGCAACAATAAAGAAAAAAAGTAAGAAAAGAAATAAGCAAGCAAGAGTTACTTATGAATTAAAATCACTTTTAGTAATACTGCCAACAAGGGAGGTAGATATAGGAAAATTATTAGTTAAAGGCTGTGTTGGGTTCCTAGTCAGCCCAGGCTATAGTTCAAGACTGCAAAAGACAGGAAAAAAGAAGGAGGACTAGAAGGAGGAGGAGAGGGAGGAAGAGGAGGAGATGGTGGAGAAGGAAGAGGAACAACTGCCATCACCAAAACCAAAACAACTCCCCTCAACTTGAGGACATTTCCATATAAACTAATGTGAGACATTTCCATACATAGTGGTGTGAGATATTTCCATTCACATTGTGAGACAGTTAAATACACCCTATTGTGATCAACATTTTAGAGAGCTGATCTAGGATACAAACATATTAGACCAAAGTAAAGTATAATGTAATTTTTATATTATAATATAAAATTAGAGCCTAAGTTATATATTACATATTATTGTATTATTTTCTTTGCCATTATAGACATATTATTATTTAAGCAAAATAATAACCAAACTAGTTAATAGTAGCAATCACAATTAATAGCAGAACAAGTTAGTGTAGAGTGATGAAATCTACTTTTATAATAATTCTTTCTTATAAAGACTTCTAAGAGCTGTATGGTCTCATACAGTTAGCTCAGGCTAACTGCAAACTCTCCATGTACAAGGCCAGCATACCCCTTTATGTCCTATTCAAGTGAGTTCACCACCTGCTATTTTGACTGAACATTGGAGTTTTGGAGGAAGGTGAAAATTTTCAATTGATTTAGTCTAATTTCAGAATCATGAGATTTAGTCTATGTGCTTTTACCTGTTTTCCTTTAGGATGCCTCTGTCAACCTAACAGGCAAAGGAAGGCACACCAATGTGAGAACAAAGGATTTATTCAAGTCAAAGTGAGGATGACCATCTGGACATAATCTGATAGTCCAGAGTAAGTGCTCTGAGGTTTGACAAAATGATGGATGTATTAATAGTTTTAAGATGCATGAGGGGTTTGAAAGCATTTGTTCTGGAAGTATGATAGGTGCTGGCTAAGTTTAACTGTCTTAAAAAGTGTATTGGGCATGTCTCACTCTCTGAGCAGTTTGGGTTCATGTACAAAATGTCAGTAGAACTTAATAAACAATGTTTTAGAACTCTGAAGTAGGCCAGATCCGAAGTTTCTAGGGCTACTTGTGTTTGAACAGAGTTCAAAGGTTTAACTGTGGATATGTGTAAGAGCAGATGTGTCGCCTAGTCCATTTTAGTGTCCAAACCAATTCTACTCCAATTGTGTTCTTTGACCTTTAGTCTCAAATTAGTTACATGTTGTACTATGTCCTCTACTGTGTGTTACCATGTCTTCTATTGTGTGTGTTTGTTTGTGGAAGTTAGAGCCTGACTTCCTGTACTTCCTAGATAGTTCTGTTCCTTATATATGGAGACAAGGCCTCTTACCTGAATCCACACCTTCCTGATTCATCTACTCAAGCCAGCCAGCTTACTCTGAAGATTCCACTTCTGTCTTCAGAGAACTGGGATTACAAGTAGTCCACCATGTCCACCTAGGCTCTATTTCTGGACATCTATCTCCCTAACTAATTAGATATGCCCTTTTATTTGTCACCAAAACAACATAGTCATTTACCCTTCTTTCCTTAGAGATGCATGGGTCAAGCTGGCACTGGGATGGTACTCATTATCTTTTCAAGATCCTTGGCTGAAAACGGCTTCACAACAGTAGCTTCATTGCTGAAGCTCTTTAGCAATGGAGTAAACTATATTGTAATTTAGTAAACTACTTGGACCAAGTGTAGTCAAAGTTGTATGAGCCTGGTGAATTAGACCTAATGAATTAGAGCTAAGACTAGAGTACTCTCAAAGTTTTTCTATTGTCTTAGGATTTAATGAGATATAAATGCAAATACTAATAACAAGGCAAAATATTCTGTCCTCTTTTTGGTGGTATAAAAGTGTAAGAAACAGATTCAATGTCAACCATCCATTGTGCATAGGGAGGGGCTTATTGATCCCTATCCCTCTCTCTTGAGCTATTGGTTACTGACAGCTTCTGGGAAAAGGGGAATCATTGTCTTCATTGTGTACCAAGCTCTAATGAATGTTTGTAAATCTATGGTCACAAAGTCAGCTCCAGTTAAACTCTGTGAATCACAAAACAAAAAGACATGAATGTGGTAAAGGAGTTTGTAGAGAGGAAGGAGGACTAATGGGGTTGGGAGGGAGTTAAAAGAGAGGGTAGGTACATATATATATATATGAAATTGTCAAATGACAGTTAATACAAAATTAAAAACAAATTCATGTATAACCAATTTGTTGGCCTTTCCTATGTATTTCTGAGCTAGAAAGAAGCAAAAAATTAAGCTCCAAAATTTATGGTAAGGTGAACTGGTTGACAGTCTGATTTTAAGAAAATATCTTATTTCTAAAAATATGTAGACCTTGATCAGATAAAGATTATTATTATTTGGCTATGAGTCTCAGCTTCTCCTTTGATACCTTGATCAGTAGAGTCTTTTAGAGGCCATCTGTGGTAGGCTCCTGTCCTGTTCCCTATCTTCTCCTGCTTCCAATGTCTATCACATTTGTCCTTCTGAATGAGGATTGAGCATCTTTCCTAGGGTCTTCCTTGTTGTTTAGCTTCTTTAGGTGTATAGATTTTAATATGTTTATTCTATATTATACAGCTAATATTCACTTATGAGCGAGTATATACCAAGTGAGTCTTTCTGCTTCTGGGTTAAGATGATCTTTTCTAGTTCCTACCATTTGCTTGCAAATTTCATATTTCCTTGTTTTTTAATAGCTGAGTAGTATTCCATGTTGTAAGTGTACTACAATTTCTGTATCCATTCCTCTGTTGAGGGACATGTAGGTTGTTTCCAGCTTCTGGCTATTACAAATAGAGCTGCTACAAACATGGTTGAGCAAATGTCCTTGTTGTATAGTTGAGCATATTTTGCATATATGCCTAGGAGTGGTATAGTTTGACCCACAGCCAAACTTTGGACAGAGTGCAGGGAATCTTATGAAAGAAAGGGGAGAAAGAAAGACCTGGAGGGAACAGGATCTCCAAAAGGAGACCAACTGTGTGGCCCTGTAAAGACTGATAAACCAACCAAGGACAATGCATAGAGAGTACTTAAAATCCCAGCTCAGATGTAGTCCAGAGTCTCAGTATCCAAGTGGGGTCCCTAATAAGGTGAGAAGGGGCTCTCTCTGGCATGAACTCAGTGAAAGGCTCTCTCATTACCTCTCCCTGGGGAGGGTGCAGCTTTGCCAGGCCACAGAGGAAGACAATGCCATCAGTCCTAATGAGACCTGATAGGCTAGGGTCAAATAGAAGGGGAGACGGATCTCCTCTATCAGTGGACGAGGGGATGGGCACAGGCAGAGAAGAGGGAGGGAAGGTGGGATTGGGAGGAGATGAGGAGGGGGCCATAGCCAGGATACAAATTAAATAAAAATTTGTAACAAATGATAATAAAAAAGAAAGGAGAGATGCAATTCCTTTCTATCAGAAAAATTATTATTATTATTGCATATATTCAGATTATAGGTGATCATACATTTCTGTGCCCTTTTTGATTAGGCAGTGGTCTTCTAAAACCATGAGCCACATAAACATCTGATACATTTGGCCTTGGATCTAGAGAAGCTGGTAAAGTATCATAGCAAATGGAAATGAGTGGTTGAGTATTTACAGTTCATATTTGGTATCTCCTTTCAAAATGAAAAGTATAAATATTGTGTGAATAGTAGTTAAACTCAATGAAGTTAACATATGACATCTTCAAATATACTTTTTTTTTTTTGTATTTCAAGTATTTATACCTTTCAACAACAAATCCTTCCCTGGGACTTTATTAGAAATAATTATGGACTGGAGAGATGGTTCAGTGGTCAAGAGCACTGGCTTCTCTTCCAGAGGTCTTGAGTTCAATTCCCAGCAACCACATGGTGGCTCACAACCACCTATAATGTGATCTGATGCCCTCTTCTGGCATGCAGGTGTGTATACAGATAGCACACTCATACATAAAATAAATAAATACATCTTTAAAAAAAGAAAGAAAGAATTATAATTATATATACAAAATATATACAAGATTTTCATGTTGTTTACAAGAGTGGAAAGTTAGAAACAAAATAAAAGTTAAACAAAATAAAAGGTAAACAGTGGGCCAGGTGCAGTGGTGCACACTTGTAATCCCAACACTTGGGGAAGTACAGGCAGGTAGATCTCTGTGGGTTCGAGGCCAGCCTGACCTACAAAGTGAGTTCACAACAGCCAAGTCTACACAGAGAAACCCTGTCACAAACAAACAAACAAAGTAATCCTAAGGGGCTGGGCAGTGGTGGCACATACCTTTAATCCCAGCGCTAGAGAGGCAAAGGCAGGATCTCTATGAGTTTGAGGTCAGCCTGGTCTACAGAGTGAGAAAAAAAAAGTTAAACAGTGAGTCTAGTTACACAAATTAAGATTTATTTACAGAGTAAAACATTTTGCTGCCATTTATTCACATGTAGAAATGTTTATAAAAATAATTTTAAATGAAAAAGAAACATGTAAAATATTCTAAAATATTATTTTTACTTTCTTGTATTAAAAATTTTTGTGTGTGTGTATCTGTGCGTCTGTGTGCATATGTATGTGGGCATGTTAATACCACATGTGAGGAGGTCAGGGAATCACTTCAGGGTATCTTGTTTATTTCTGCACACCACCTACCAGGTTAGCTCCCTGCAAGCTTATGGAGCTGCCCCTGCCCTTCCTCCTATCTTAGCCTAAGTATGCTGTAGGTACAGATGTGTGTTCCTGTTTCTTTTTTACATGGGCTCTGAGGCTCAACTCAAGTGCTCGCATGTGTGCAGCGGACATGTTACTGAGTGGAGCTGTCTTCCCAGCCCCTTTATGTTTACCTTTATTTCTAATTTCTGACATTTTAAGCAAAATTTATATATAAGGAGTTTCTAAATTTCTTGGTGATCATTATCAGAAAGAATGGCTAATTTAAAGTTCTAGTGAAATGAATGTTAATTATAGTAGAGGGCTCCCCTGTTCTTGGTACGGGTTTTATCTTTCTATGTTTAGTTTCCTATTTCACAGATTGATGTACTTATGCACACATGTACATATGCATTTTAATTATGTTACCTTAAATCCTTTTTGGGGAATAAAGGTGGTATAAATGTATAATAAATTAGCATATATATATACATAAAATTAAATAATTATTTTTGGTAAATTATCTCATGAGTGACATATAGAAGTACATATCTGCATACTAATATATTTATTATATATTGTATGATTTTTCTTAAGGGGAATTTAAGGATAAAGTAATAGAAGTTAAACATCAGCAATGTAGGATAGTTAAAAGCATATATCAAATAGCACTTTGCAGCAGAAGCAAATGAATGTTGCAGATTTAATTTCCTGGATCATACTCAATTGTTAAGTTATGAAATGAGAGGAGGAGACAGTTTCAAAAACATTAAATCCCTATATTCTCTTTGAGGACAACATTCCAAAACTTTAAGAGTGTGTCTCAAATGTGTGGGATCTTTGCTGTTCCGGGTCATTGACTACTCTTGTCACTGCTCCCTGGGGACGTGATAAACTACAGGCATTATACCTGCAACACAGTGCTCGCTTACTTGCTTTTCCTCCCTGGTTAAAAGACAAGACCCTGAAAGGAAAAACTGGTGTCATAAATTTTGTTTTTATGAAAATGTATCTACTTATTTATCATCGTCGTGTCATGTCTGTATACACCATGTGTACGGAGGCAGCACATGCCACTGAGTGCGTGGAGGGCAGAGGATGACTTTGTGGAACTGGTTCTCTTCTTCCGCTTTCACCTGGGTCCCAGGAATCTAACTCAGGTTGCCAGGCATGTGTGCCAAGCACATTGTCTGCTGAGCCATCTTGGTAGCCTTTGTATCTTAGTACCTTTGGCATAATGTGCCAAGCACAATGGCATAAAATGAGTGTTGTTGAATAAATTAATTGCTTGTGAGAAGGTAAAGCAGGAGTTTACCTTTCACTTTAGAATTTGATTCTTCGTGTTTTTGGAGTAAATGTTCTTTACCATAAACCTAATGGAACAGAGAATTAGAAAGAAAATATATTATAAACATGAAATATTATAAACATGGGTATGTTCTTATATGATTATGATATGATAGGTTTTCAACAAACATTTATTATTTATTTTTATAGGTTTGAAACAGGCAAAAACATAACTCCAAACTTCTGGTGTTCTTAATAACATTACTCTCTTGCATTAATAAACATCAGGAAAATTTCAATATTTTGTTCATTGCTAATGAGAGTCTTTTTTTTCACACAGAAGTCATGTATCTTGACAAAGAGACAAAAATGTTAAATTACAATTATTTAAATTAGAAGGTGAAAGCATCAAATAGATGAAAAGCCTACCAACACATTTCAGAACTGTGCTTAATAATACAAAAGAATATTTCTCTTGAGCTTTGTAAAGAACTCTAAAACAAAGGAAACCATAAACACACCACCTTCCCTTTTGAGAAAAAATATGAATCTGACCTTGACAAAAAGAGATACACACTGAACTTTTAACTTTATGAACCTTCAATAATCTACAAATCGTTGTGACCAAAAACATTTACAAAATGTCCACGCTTTTGTTTCTTTGCCTAATATTATAAAGAATTTTCTAAAAGAAAAGAGGAAAGAAAAGATAAATGAAAAGCATTTTTGCCAGTTTGCAGTGCATATAATTCAGTAACATTAGACTATAAAACAGAGTCAGTCTATGGTTCTAGGGCTTTGAGTCCAGCCTGGGTGACAGAGTGAAGCCTTCCCTTGACAAAACAAAACAACACACAATGAACACAAACACAAAATAGCTAAAACACAAAATCCATTTCTTTGTATATATAATTGGCAACATATTGATACTATCTATGGAAATGAGGAAAAAGGTAAAAATCAAAACTTGATTATGAGGTTGAAGAGATGGCTCAGGGGTTACGAGTGCTTGCTGGAACCATAGGGGTTTTTCGCTGACTACATGTTCAATTCCCACTAATTTTTGGCTGATTGCTCTAATGTCTTCAGCCCTGCTGGGGGTCATAATTTGCTCTTCAGGTGAATTTTTTTTTAAGTTTCCTTTGAATGGGCAGGTGTAGAAGTTGTGTATGATGTCTGTTCTGAGTTTGAGAGGCTCCTCCCAGATGTCTCCCCAGTTCTCTCCTGCAACATAGCAGGATACAGTTTAGCATGTGTTTCAAATCAACCTACCAATCTCCACTGTTTTTTTTTTTAAACTTTTAACCATATTTGTAGAAGTTTTAAGAATTTCCTAAGCCTTAACTTTCTCCATCCTCTGTTGCAAATGAAGTCAATTCTTTGGGAAGAGATTAGGATGTTATCTGTTGTGTGGTCTGGCTCTCTCTCAAGGCAAATATCCTAAGTCTTAGTTCTGGATCTAGGACTAGACAGAGACAGTGACATTGTGTGACTATAGTCCAGCTACTGTAATCTTAGGTCTTCAAGTGTCCCTTTCTAACTTGAACCAATGCTTTACAAGCCAAGGCAAGAATGATCATAGCTCAGTTATTCAGTGGTGTACACCCAAGAGGAAACATCTAGCCAAAGACTGGGGTTTGAGTATTAGGATTCTTTGTCCTTTTCTCTGCACTCACCTTGAACTTAGCCCCAGAAACAGGTAGTTGGAGCCAGTCCCTTGCTCCTCCTGGGAAGGCATTTCTGGTAGCTGGGGGAGAGGTGTCATCTATTTTTTTGGCTGCTGTATTCTGTAGTAGTATTTCTGTCTTACTGAGCTAGGAGTGGAACAAGGACAGTTTGGATTCACAGACATGCTACTTACAATGAATTTGAGGATTTTAAAAAATAGATTATTTTTTCATTTCCTATATAACCTTAGACTTTTAAAAATTTTATTTTTTTAATAAATTATAGTTTATTGACTTTGTATCTTAGCTGTAGCCCCTCCTTCATCCCCTCCTAGCCCCACTCTCCCTCCTTCATCTCCTCCCATGCCCCTCTGAAAGTCTACTGATAGAGGAGGTCCTCCTCCCCTTCCCTCTGACCCTAGCCTATCAGGTCTTAATAAGGACTGGCTGCATTGTCTTTCTCTGTGTCCCCTCAAGGGGGAGGTGATTAAAGAGCTAGCCACTGAGTTCATGTCAGAGACAGTCCCTGTTCCCATTACTAGGGAACTCACTTAGAGACTGAGCTGCCATGGGCTACATCTGTGCACAGGTTCTAGGTTATCTCTATGCATGGTCCTTGGTTTAACCTTAGACGTTTAATGGTTGTTCTTCATTCTTTAAGTAGTGTTTACCAGCTTGCTAGTGAATAGGTTTGCTAAACTCTTTGCTGTCATTTAGAAGTCCATCTCTCAGCACCATTTAATTTTATTACTTCATATTCTTTTAGGTTTCCTTGTTTATTTATTTTAATATCATGGATACATTTTGTAAGCATTCTCAAATAATTTTGAAATAAAATAAATAAAAATGAAATTAAAACATGGCATCTTTTTAAATAGTCTATCTTTATTTTATGTGGATTAGTGGTTTTGTCTGAATATATGTGTGTGAGAATATCAGATCTCGGGAGTTACAGACATTGTGAACTGCTATGTGGGTGCTAGGTGCTGGGTCCTCTGGAAGAGCAGTCAGTGTTCTTAATCATTAAGCCATCTCCCAGCCCCCCAAAACATGGCATCTTAATAAGACCTGCCTCTCACCTGTCAAGGATCTTTTGAGTTTTATAAACAGCAAATAATATGACCAAAATTCTATTCTTTTTTTTTTTTGAGGAAAAAAATGACAACATATGACTTGCCATGTTTTGCATTCATATTTAAAACATTCTTAATCATTACATTAATCAAGATTTACCTCTCTTCTGTTATTCTGGCGGATTGCTAGGGTAGCATTTCTTTTCCTCTTTGTTTTCAGATACTTTTTCTTATTTTTCACCTGGTAAAAGAGTATTTTAAATTAGCATTTAATGAACATATAAAAGACAATGTAAATCCAGGTATTTTGAGGCCCCCTTTCTAGGAGATGGAGTAATGCCACGTTCTCTCCCACCACTGCAGCTGCGCACACTAGATGTATGCAAAGCAAATACAAGAGTCTATGAAAAAGTACTTGGGGATTTAGAAATGTTTCCTAATCCCAGGAGAGGAGACTACTCCATATCTGCACAATAAAAAAAAATATGGTTCTTGCCTAGCATGCCCAGAACTTTGGTTTTGGTCCCCATGCATGCAAATTCTGAATTGATCTTGATCCAAGACTGTTATACACTCCCTGGTCTTCATTTTTAAATAATATATGCATTATGATCTCCCAATTTCTGGTTCATTATTGTAGGTGTATGTAATAGTGGCAGAAAACTTGCCTTATCTTACAGGTTCTGGTCCAGGCCTGGTATAGGTCATGATGGGGAACTGATAACCATGCCTGGATGAACTTTCGGTTGTTTTGGAAAAGAGACAAATACTAATAAATTCAGTATTGGGGCAGAAAGTTAATAACTGTGTCTTAGAGGTGAACTATGGAATGCTAAATCACTGCTCCCAAATGTTTTATTCTCTATAATAGGATCTTGCACTCCTAGACTTTGCGATGAACTCTGTAGAGCCTCTCTCATGGCAAGTGGAATACCCTTCTCCATTCTGTTGATGTTGAGTCTGGCTATGTGACTTCCTGCGGCTAGTGGATTGTTAGTGAATATGGTATATGATGTGGTTTAATAAGCTATATGGTTGCTGGAGGAAACATGGCTGTCAGTGGGCTGACATTGCACAACTATCCTTCTTGTACTAAGGGTTTCCATCATTGGACTTTTACACTGGGTATTCTCTGGCTGAAGGAAATGAAAAATGTAATATTTATCTGAACTAAATATGAAGTCTGAGAACACCGGCAACCTATCGAAGTCCAGTAGAGTCAATTTTCAGACCCCAAGAGTGAGAAAAGAAAAGATTTCTGTATTTGCTAAGTTTTGAAGTTGTATGTCACACAGTGGAAAGGAGCTTATTCTCTGACTTAATTAGGTATCATCTCTTTTTTTAGTAAGCCCATTCAAACTGTGATCTCCATAAAAACTCTTTAAGTTCTCAACTATTAAGTTATATATTTTACTTATTTTGTATGTCACTCTCCAAACTAGAATATAAGAAAACAAAAAGAAAATTTTTTTGACTCATTGTTTTCACTGCTCTGTTTCTAGTACCCAGGCAGTGCCTAGCACATAACTTGACCACAATATTAACAATACATGTGTAATTAAATAAATGAGTATTGGGTTAATAAAAGTGATGTATGTTAGGGTACCACACCTGACATTAACAAGTGGCATGGCATTTGATAATTAATTTCACTACCTTAGATCTTAATATTCTCATTCATGAAGTAAGTGGAATAAAATAAAAATTCTATGATTTAAAGATATGCACGTAATTAGAAAAAACAATTATTACTACATAATATTGATTGAAGCACAAACCTTTTCCTGGTTGCTAGTAACAATAATGAGTGTACCTGCTTAACATACCCATACTGAAGCAAAAACTTTCAGTCATACCTGAGAAGACAACTTGAGAAGATAAGTCTGAGTGTCATTGGAGTCTGAACTGTCAGAGCCTTGACTACTATAAAAAGAAAATAATAATAATTACAGTTTTCAGAATTTAAAATTTCAATGTTACTTTTACTTTATCATCTTATTTGAATGGATAATTCTAATTGGGAGAGAATGATATTTATAAAGGTTATTTAATTTTTGGTGGTCCCATATAACTTAGAAATGTATTTTTATTTTCTGAATGTATAGAAGCTATCCATGTTTGGGAATATGTTGCTAGAATGTAAGCTCCATGAAAGGATGATTTCTCTTTTTCTGTCAGGTTCATTGTGATGCTATTAGGGTAAAATAGCACTCAGTACACAATGAGGCTCAATATTCTTTGTTAATAAGTGAACAAATAGCTGATATATCTGTGACATTTCCTAACTCTTATGGTTATCATTAGCTCCTAAAATTAATTTTATATCACTATATTTCTATTTTGCTTAAAAATAATTTAAGGGCCACCCAAAGCATAGTACCTCAAGAACAAAAAGATCAAACAAAAATCTGTTTCTAATTATAATCACTTAACACGGTAATAGGCAAAATTTACTTGCTTGAGTGACAACCCATGGAAGAAAATATTTCTGGGTTGCAGTTTTGACATATTAAAGTTAATGAATAGTTTTATTTTTAAGAACAGTTTTAGGTTTACAGAAACACATCATAAGATATTTCACAGTTCCCGTATGCACAGTTTACTCTGCTATTAGCCTCTTACACTACATAATAAATTCTTACAATTTACAGTAAATTTATTGTTTCGTAGCTAACTTGGCATATAATCTGTAAGTTTTGACAAATTTATAAAGACATGTGTCGTTCACCACTACTGCATCAAACAGTGTTGCTGTTTCAAAACTTCTATGTTTTATTACCCATGACTCTGTGGTCCAGGAAACTCCTGGCAACCACTGGCCCTTTCTTTCTCTGGTTTTGTCTTGCTCTGTGTCATGCAGTTGGGCTTATATGGTCTTTTCAGACTTCTTTCACTTACCAGTACTTGTACCAATACTGAGTTTAGTATACTTTAGTGACAAACTCCTATACTGATATGCCACCAAAGTGTCTTTTCCTTTATTTCTTTTTTTAAAGTTAATTTTATTTATATATTTATTTATTACAATTTATTCATTTTGTATCCCCACTGCAGCCTCCTCACTTATCTCCTCCCAGTCCTACCCTCTCTTCTTCTTCTATGCCCCTCCCCAAGTCCACTGATAAGGGAGGTTCTCCTCCCCTTCCACCTGACCCTAGCTTATCAGGTCTCATCAGGGCTGGCTGCATTGTCTTCCTTTGTGGCCTGGCAAGGCTATACCCCCCAGGTGGAGGTAATCAGAGAGCCAGCCACTGAGGTCATGTCAGAGACAGGCCCTGTACCCCTTACTAGGGAAACCACTTGTAAAAATGACCAGTCAATGGGCTTCCTTTGAACAGGGGGTCTAGGTCCTTTTGATGCATGGTCTTTAGTTGGAGTATCGGTTCCTGCAGGCCACCCTGGGTCCAGGTTATTTGGCTCTGTTGTTCTCTTTATGGACTTCCTGTCCCTGCCAGGTCGTTCTATCTTCCTCTTCTTCAATAAGAATTCCTGCACTCTGCCCAAAGTTTGGCTATGAGTCTCAGAATTCCTGCACTCTGCCCAAAGTTTGGCTATGAGTCTCAGTATCTCCTTCCACACCCTGTTGGGTAGAGTCTTTCAGTGGTCCTCTATTGAAGGTTCCTGTCCTGTTCTTTGTCTTCTCCTATTTCCGAAGTCTATACTGTTTGCCCTTCTGAATGAGGATTAAGCTCTTCCTTAGAGTCTTCCTTGTTTTTTTTTTTTTTTTTTTTTGTTTGTTTGTTTGGTTTTTTTTGGGGGGGGGCTATAGATTTTCTTTTCCTTTATTTTAAGTAAAGCTTTTGAACAAAGTTAGACATATTTAGAGACATTTCTGTCTTTGTGATGAAACTGAGCATGTTTGCCACCTTTAGGATGCTAACTGAGCATATCCCAAAGTGTTTTCAGATTTGCTACATGACTGGCCCATGAATGCCTCCATGTGTTTGTCATCTTTCATGAAGTGCAAATTTAAACTGAGCATGTTCAAGAAGTTCTTAACCGAGTATGCTCAGGAAAATGTCCAACCTTACAGTACTTTCTTATATTAATATTTATGGGCTTTCTAAGTAAATTCCCACACTGCCTTTGTGCAAGGCATTGCTTTTGGCTCTTCTCACCTGCTACAAGTAGCAAGTCTTAGTTATTATTTCTTGGTCACGGTTTGTTTTGGCTTTGTTCTCGTCAAAATAAAACCCATTGTATGTGGTTGAAATACGGACACAAGTTTTTGTTCTGTCATATTATTTCATGGTTTGGAAACTCACTTATATTTATCATTGAATTATAGTCCATTATAAGGACACACTTTTTAAAAATGTCATTCATATGTTGGAGGACTTCTGGTTGCTTCTAGTTTGGGCAATTATAAATAAAGCTATTATGAATACTATGTGCACTTTCCCCCTGAATTTGTTTGGTTTAAAACCTAAGAACCAAAGATGAGCTGAGGTATGCAGTTTCATGACCCCTATAATGGGTCATGCAATTGTGGTTGATCTGTCTAAGAATAGAGAATCCACAGGGGCAATTCTAATGTGGCTATATTATCTATATGATAAAGATGGTATACCTCCTTATTGTAGTGGAAATTACATGAGTGATAAGATCTGCAAATAAGGCTGAGACATCTGAGAGTAGAACAATTCTAGTGGTCGTTTTCTTCTATATGGTATGGAATGACATGTCTCCTTGATGAATGGACCGTATTCACACAAGTATGAGGATACTGCCAAATGGTTGATAGACTAGAGGTTATAACTGCAGCCTTTGGAACTGACATGTGGTAGAGAGTACTACGGTGGTAATCGGGGGTGATGGGAAAGGAGGAAGTGGTGAATCACTTATAAATGGTACCCAAACAAATCCAAAGCCTAAATTCTAGTAGAATGAATACTGTGCTTTCATGGACTTCTTCTCTATGAGGCAAAGTGCGTAGAGAGCCAAAAGGACAAACAAGGGAAATATGTCATACATCACATTGGTTGGGACAGAAATTGGGATGAATGGGTTCCAGAAAACAGAATACTTAAACACATGGACACCAATTTGCAGAAACAGTGAGAACTCTAAAGGCAATCAATTGGGAACAAGGCAATCAGAGGGCAAGAGGAGAGGAATGCTCCTGGCAAGAAGACATCTGGCCTGCAGCAGAAAAATGAAGTGACCATAAAATAGAACAGGCAGAAACTCCAGGAAATGGAGACAGTACCAGGGAGACACCTCAGCCTCCTAGGAAGAAGAGGACCTGAGCAGATCCTACTTTTGAAGATGAAGAAACATTTATGGACAGGGTTGAAGTTAAAGAGTCCTGGAAGCTGACACCATGGCTTGCAGAACACTGGCACTTGACCACCAAGCAAACAATCACAGTGAATGTCGCGCTCCGAGCACCTGGGATGTGGGTGCATCAGGGTGATCTGTGAGAATTTCAGCATACTGTGGTCCCTAAGACTTTCGTGAGTCCCTCAGTACTTAGAGAAGAATTTGCAACTTTGTTCAGTGCCAGTGAATTCAAAGTGGTTCCTCCTGAGTATCATCAGAAAGCCATGGGTGTGCTCTCACTCATGTTTGATCTGTGAAAACAGTTTGGTTTTTAATCCTTCTGTATAAATGATGTACTTTGAAGATGTTAGTGTATAACAGAATTGATGTTTTCTGTTTGATTTTAAACAGATAAAAGAAGGGAATTCCCTTCTCTCTCTCTCTCTTTTTAATTTCAAAGTTTCTACCAGTGTATTCAACGATGGACACTAGCCATGCTGTAGGTAGTGGTTCTCAACCTTCCTAATGCTAGAATCCTTTAATACAGTTCCTCATGTTGTGATGATACCCAACCTTAAAGTTATTTTGTTGCTTATTCATAACTGTAATTTTGCTACTGTTATGAATCATAGTATAAATATATGATATGCAGGATATCTGATATGCAACCCCCACAACCCATATAAGTTGAAAACCAGTGCTGTAGAGTGTTTTATTGCCTAGCTGACACAGCTGCTTTTGAATGCTGGTAATGTTCCTTTGACACTATGCACTTTTATAAAGAGTTACTGCGCTATGACAAAAATGTTGATTCTTAGTGTCTAAGGTTCATGTCAGTGTATGTGAGAACACTCCTTCATTTGTGTGTGTGTGTGTTTTTAATTAATAGTACTTTAAGAGCCCATCCTTTGCACGCCATCCACGTTGTTCCTTAGGCATTTTACCATTGCTCAATTGTTGAGGAATGGTGGATTCATGGCTTTGTACTTCTGGCTAATCATGCTTTATCATGGGAGCTGCAATGCATTGTGTAGCCCTTTATAGAAGAGTCACGACTAGAGGAGTCATTTTCAGACCTACAATTATTTTCCCTTAAATTTAAAAAATAAAGTAGTATGTGCCAAACAGGATTGTAAGGAGGCTGTGCCATCTGCTGTGTGGCCTTTGCTGTGGCTGGTAAGACATGCAACTAAGACTAATTTGTCTGAACGTAAAGAACTTGCCCAACTAAAGGAGAAATTATTAGCAAAAGACACATGAGTACTATTTTCACGTTAGTCTATGATTTTGTAGCGAAAGAGGAGAGAATAAGCTGAAGTGATAGAAGATACCTTTCAGATCTACCTTTAATATAAAATGAGGGAAAATCCATTATTCAGCATGAAAATGTAGGCCTTAATAAAGGCCTGCATAGGAAACATGACAATTGCTGAATATTCTGCATCTGAGCTGCTCGTATCTGCCAGTCAAATCCAACATACCTATTCACCCGTGGAGGGAGTTTTCATCTTTTCAGTGTGCAATGGTTACAATGGAGACTCACTAATGGTTAGGTTGCTGAGAAAAATAACTGTTGTGGTGGAATAGTGAGCCCATGCTATATCATTTCATTCAGAATATAAGAGCCAGAAGAAAGGATAAAATGTTGTATGGCTATTTCC